CGCTGGTTGTTGTCAAATCGCTTAATTATATTGACTAGTCAAATAACTCAGCTTTGAGCGATAGAATTCGTTCGAAACCACGTTGCTTTTATAGATTTTTGCGGGTCATTTCAGTGCGTCTTGTCTTGATTTTTAGGTTAGGCTCTTATAATAAACTCGTTAGATAACACGTTCATTTGCGTACTGGGTTTGCTATTGTTACAGTATTTAAATTTAGCCTTAAAATGTCTTGTCATAATTTTGCTGCGGCGCAGACAATAAAGACTCCAAACGCGTTTTATTGCGTCTTTTGTGGTTATTTTAGCTTTAAATGTGTCTTGTGTCTTGATTCCACAGCAGCGCAAATATATAAAGATTCGTGAAACGCGTTTCCTTGCGTACTGTGTGGTTATTTTAGCTTTAGATGTGTCTTTTGTCTTGATTGTACATGAAATAAAGATGTCAGTTGTCAAGTCTCTTGTTATTGCCTTTTGTTTTCATGAACTGTGTTCGGTTCAGTAATATCTACTATTAGTCAATAAATAGACACTAATATTTACTTATTCGACTTGGTACCCTCGACCCTCGACCCTCGACCCTCGACCAAAAGGCAGACCCGTCAAGGTAAAGCGGCTTAGCCAGTAAGAGGCAATCATAATGTTCTTGTTGACAGATGCTTCACAACACTGATTCTCATGAAGAAAGGTTTTCACAGAAAATGCAATSAAAACTTTACTCGATTAAGCAACAAAAAGACCTTGATCAGCTTGGAGTCCTGCTTGACTTAAAATCTGTCTCAAGAGCGTGTTTTCATCTGAAATCTTTCGTAATGTGTAAAAAAGTCGTTTGGATAAATTATAAAAACAAAACTTTCTCTCAGCCAATCAAATTAGAGATGTTGCTAGCCGATGCCAGGGCCTTTTCCCGCCTGACMYCAAGTGAAGGGATAAGGCCCTGGGAACRAGGTTGCCTCCAGCYCACCCTGAGGGATATTTAATGAACAGTCCCTAAACAAAACAATCAATACATTTGTTAGCACCTTWGTTTAAAAGAGTGGTTGATTATCATACAAATATATACAATTCAGAGTTAAAGGGGTACTTGGACGAAAATWGCGAAACATTAAAAAAKACTTGGAAATAAAATAAAACTATCCATATGGGTCWAATAATCATGAAGCAACAGATTTTAAGAAGATATTGATACAAATCATCAATAATTTGGGYAAAAAATGTTGCAGTAGATGACGTCATTTACTCCATCCTTTTGTTCTTCCATCTTTTGAATTAAAATTTCTCTGATGTGGGACAATTCCAAAACAAATATTTTCCCGCAATTGTTTTTAATAGATAATCAGAGTCATATATTTGTATTGCTTGAAGTTTTGAAATAAGGCCATTTTCATGCAAGTAGCACTTTAAAGGGTTAATCTGTTTCATCCGTAGTAGATAGTACATTTTGGTGCTCAAGGAGGATTGGATTCGAACCCACTTGGGCATTATTTAAGCTTATTAAGAACTTGGCTTATTATAAAGTTAGAAGAAGATATGTATTTACAAAGCTAGAGCAATTTTATCTAATCCGTGATATAAAAACTAAATTGTTCTAACAATTAGTAACTATTTTGTACTTAAATAGATGATAGCACTTAATGAGTGCTACATGTATCATCTATATAAGTACAAAATAGTGACTAATAGACACTGTGCAGCGACACCATTTTGTGCAGCAAAGCATGATGGTAGTTGTAGTCCTCGCACTTTTCAAAACCCCTAAAACTAAACCCCTAAATATCCTTAAAAGCCGTTTTTACATTTTTAGTCGGGCTAGCYGTAGGCTAGTACGACTATAGTTTTACCTTTCGGATCTATCTGGCAACGTCGCGTATAGTCCCCCATGATGCTTTATGAGCTATACCACAGGCACCCCAATTACAATCAATTACGTCATAAATATATCATGTGACACAAAAGTCACATGTACACGTCATGCTTTTCTATTTCACATGGTCAATCGAAGTACGAGGCAGACGAGGGAAAGGCTGTATCTACTTGGAGTGTTCGCAAAATTGTACGAAGTATTTCTTTTGTTTTGTTTCTTGACCTGAGAGGTCATTTTTTAATTAAAAACGTGAAACTTTACACMAAGATATCTGATAATCAAATGCATTGCGCCATGTCGTCTATGGTTGCATTAGTAATGATAGGATATGAGTTTTAAGAGCATTTAAAGCATTTATCTTGAATTTATTTGAAAGAGTTGCCTTTGGAGATTCCCCTAAATAATATAAGCTGGTTAATAGGGTTTTTTTTCTTTAAACATTGCATTAAAAATTGTTAAAACATAAAGTGTTGTTTATATGACCTTTTTAAATTACACGAAATTTGCATATTTCAGAATGAGCTACACGCTTTTAAAGCGTGAAGTCGCGATAGCTATTTTTGAAAATTGAGAAAGACAGAATATCAATCCTGGATCGATATTTCTAGTGTTTTGATGTCATTGCGCCGAGTTGTGTTAGTAAAAGTTCTGTTCATACTATACAGTGTTACTTGTTTGAAACATAACGGAAAGTCACATTGTAAA